CATCACGCTGACGCCGCAAAGCCACACTATCGGCGTAGGCACTGTGTCACGTGACCTATCACATCACATCACATCACTTTATTTCCTTAAAGACCCCTCACGGGGGTAGTACATAAGGGGTGGGTATACAGTGCAGCCAGGTGACTTCACTCGGTAAGAAAGTTTGTTACTTTGTCCAAGACGTTTGATGGATTAGTAATGGCTGCAATGGTGTGGGAAAGGCCATTCCAATCTGTTGCTGCTCGGGGGAAAATGAAGAGGAAAATGTAAGGGTGCGAGCAATTGCGAGAGTGACACTTGCAATTGCGAGAGTGACAATTGCAAATGCGAGAGTGACACTTGCAATTCATGTCCGCGGCGATGAGACAGAAAGTCATCGCGTTGACGCCGCAAAGCCACACGATCGGCGTATACGCACTGTGTCACGTGGCCCATAGACAGAAAGAAATCAAGGCGAATTTTTCGCTTCCTCAAGAACCACGCATTAATTGTTCGGCGCGGCATCGTTGCAAGCGTTTGACGTCGCCAGCAATGTCGGTCGTGGTTTGCAGGATTCGCCAGCCACCGGCGCTTGCATACATACCAGTTCATGATTTGGCGCGGCCGTCGGTATCATCGGTACGCAGTCGCTGCCGGCCCTCGGCCTCCTGGGCCTGTTTTTGAGCCAGGACTGCGTCATCGCCAGGACTGCGTCATCCCAGGACTGCGTCATTTTTGAGCCAGGACTGCGTCATCGACCCGGCGAATGGGAGCTCCCTCGCGCTTCCACTGTCGGCGCACTTCTAGGGTTAGTAGATTGTTTCAGGAGAAACTGGTGTGCTCGGCGACATGGTCAGTGTGTTAACTTTTTTTTTTTAGCAAAGCCGCCAGAACGCTTTCAGAAAGTCGCCAATTTTAACCAAAAGTTGCTAAACGATGATGATGCTTATCATTTCTTTCCTGAGTCATTTGTTTTTGATTTGATAAAGTACGTGAAGGGAATATTTTTTTTTATTTAAACAAGATTTCCGATCAATTTATCTTGTGGCCAAAAAAGTGAACTGCGCTGCCACATCCTGGTTACGCCGCAACCGGTAAGCATTGCTCGCTAATGATCGCAGCGCCAAAAGCAGCTCGATCCTTTGCGCTTTGGCCTCATGTATTGAAGCTCGTTCCGAGCATTCTGCTGTTCTCACAGTTTTCTAGTTTTCTATGTCTGTTTCACAACATTCTACCTCAAATTATGAAAGTCCTTAAAAAATATCGCTAAGACTCCAAATAGATGCAATTGTCGCCAGCACAGCGGTAAAGATGGCCAATTTAGCGACTTCATCGCTAAGTTGACACCACTGGCCACGGCTGCGACGAGATGAATGACGTCACTCATAACACAAGCCACTGGTGCACGTGCTTGGGCACGGCGCCGTGAAAGACGTCACTGATATGACAGCCAATGAAGACGGCTCGTGACACCGCTGCCGGGCAGTTTTTCGTTTTTCCTAGCCATATATAGTTTTCACTGCAAAACAACCGATCAGTGACAAGCCCACGATCAAGAGAGGATCGGTTATTAGAAAAAAAGTGCGTAAAAATGCACAAGCGATTGGGAAACCTTCGAGGGACTCATTTGTGTACCCTCACTGGTGCCTGGAGCTTTTCGCACATGACAGCGCCACCGAGATCAGCGGGAGTGTATGCGGAGTTCCCCTACAAAGGGGTTGGGGAGCAGGCGGGGAGGGGAGGTGAGAGCGCCAATGTTAATCATATAATTCCTTTCCCTATTAAGTCAATGCAATGGGGATAGTTAGCGCACCTCTCCTCCTTATTCTGTGACTAGGGGCATTGAAAGAGCCCCACCCTATGCGCGTGCCTATGGAGATCAGTAACTAATAGCAAGCATTGTTTGAGATAGCTCTGTATTGGACGATCACCCTTTAGCTCGCCCGCATTCGCTCCTGATAGCATCCCCAGCTGACCGCCCACGGAAGAGTATGGACGCCATTGGATCGCGCACTTCCGGGTGCACTTTCTTTTAACGTGTTCCTGCCAAAAATGTGGCATTTAAGCCACCCAATACAAAACAAGAAAAGAGCAAGAAAAGGGGAGGAGGATTTTGATTTAAGTATCTGCGAAGAGTATGCAGCATCAGTGGTTTCGTTTTTCGTTAGTGTACGTTTGATCGGACAGGGTTGAAAAGAGCGGGGGGGAGGGAGGGGGGTATTTGCGAACTTTTTCAGTCGCGCCATATGAAAAGATTGGAAGTGCGGGAGAGCTTCACTCGAAACAATTGTCGCGCGCACGGTCTGCGGACGGCCACGCCCCTTTTATTGTCTCCCGCATCGACTCACACAAAAGCCTTTTTTTTTTTCACTCCTCCCCGAGTCGTCGTGACGGTCAATGAGCTGAAGTTCACAATAGCAGCTGCGTGGGCGCGGCGAATTTCTCCGCACCTGCCCTTCATTACGACCAGTGTTTACTTGTTTGTGGTTCCTGCGAGCCGGCTTTTGTTTTGCGGCAAAATAAATGTAGAAACGCGGCGAAAGTTTTGCGACTTTAAACGCCGCGCGTTAACGAGCGTCGACGACGCACGCAGGTTGCCGCGGGTATGCTCTGAGGCACGCGAGATGGCAGGGACGCCCGAAATGAGTGGATGGAGTCAGCTTTCTTTATTAAAGACGATAGCCTTTCTTGAGGACCTTCGACGCAAAAACTTCGGTCTGTCGGTCTGTACATTTGTCTGTTTGTCTACCATTACCGTAAAATGGGTACTTTAAACAGCACCAGCCGATACCCCGAACGGCCGACCCCATCCGCAGCGACCACCAATGTTGCTCAAGAATCAACGTTCACACATATGCGATTGTCAATCAAAAAGCAATTCATGTGCATATCTGAGGCATTATAACAACACGTATATATTCTGGATGTTGGTCTTTTACTAGAAAATGCATACATAAGTAATACCAAGGACCGTAGCGCTTATCACGCTGCGCTGACCATCCAACACTTGCACGGAAAGGCGAGTGGTTCCAACGCTTTGGTAAAACGAGACGGTGGTGGCACCTACCCGTTACCTTGCGTTCTACACCCTATCACCTCTGAGGCGGGCGCGCACACCCATCTCAGAGCCACGCGCTTTGTTTTTGAAAAAAAAAAACTGCCAGATGGTGGTCATGTCTCACGTGTGACGTGACTTGATGCACTTCTTCGCCCCCGCTGCACGCTTGAGGCACTCTAACGCAGCGCCTCCAGAATACCTTTCTACAATTTTCTTGAGCAGAACATCAAATGAATGTTTTGTTCACTCTCTCCGCACGCAAGATTATCGTCTTTCGACGACAGTTGCAGCTTAAATGCAGATACGGGGCCAATTTTTTTCTTTTTTTATCAAGTGGTTGTTTTATGCTAGCTACTTCCTTCGAATGACGTTATATGGATACAGTAGCCACGTTTCTACGAATCAGAGAGTTTCCTAAAATTAACTGGAGGGGATTCCGGCGCTGCCATCGTTCAGCGACCATGGGAATGATGTGTATAGTACACAAATTTGCCTAGTCTTCTTGCTTGTGGGCTTCAAACGTACTTGTGGCTATATTTAGTGTTGGGTTATGGTTTTGTTTCAAATAATAATAATAATAATAATAATAATAATAATAATAATAATAATAATAATAATAATAATAATAATAATAATAATAATAATAATAATAATAATAATAATAATAATAATAAAACGAACCGTTGTTAACTTCGTGACTCGATTTGAATTCGTGAGCAAAAAAGGTTAAGGTGGTGAAGCGCAACTGCTGAACATTTGCTGATTGATGTTTCGTGTCAAAGGAGCTTCGAGCCCCGCGAAGCCAAACGGAGCTGAAAGTAGAAAGATTAGAACAATTTTGTCTACCAACCTCCTCATCACTAAACGCAATAATTGGCCATCGGCATTCAACGGAGGTGTCTGCGTCAGCACAAGTGATACAAAAAAAAAAATGAAAGTCACCATCCCGTGACGACGTCACTCCATGACGTCATGACAACGTCACTACATAAAGTCGCAGCTTGGTGAACGTTGGGATGATCACAGAGGCCATGCGCAATCACGTGAAGTCTTCTTTAAGTAGTCGGGTATCCGCCACCATTGTTTGAGACAGAGAATCACTCCTCCTCACACGGCAGTTCGCAGCCGAGCTCTCGTCTCCCGCAAGTCTCTTTCGTTAAACGTTACACACACATAAGCCGGCTTATACTTAGTATCAAATGCTTAAAAGCTAATTAAACAAAACCTCTTTTATCGTCCCGTTGTCTTACTGTTTTGTGATCACGCTGCTTAGGCAACAGTTGTGCACGTTTAAACAGCTGCGCTCAAAACTGCCCAAATAAAAACGCACTTGGAAAGGCGCTTGTAAGTTCTCGTAATTAAGTATGCATTTTAGGATTCGTTTATAAGGTAAGTCGGCTTTTGCGTGACACTAATGTGATTTAGCATAACATTGTTAGCTTTGGCAACGACAAACCATCAAAAATTACCATCGTATTTCATTGAGTTAGCCTCCCGAAAAGATGAGCTGCGCAAAACTGCGGAATTCAGCTTCCTGAATGCTTCTTATAAACGAAAAGTACATTTCAACATGTATGGCAGGGTGTTGGCGTTCTTAGGGGCAAAGTAATTAGCTTGCGTAGAAGCAGTAGAATCATCACCTTAGCTGCAAGTCGAACGTAGCCTCGCATTTCATGCCACATGTTGGTCCCAATAAGCGTCACTGAATGCGTCTGTTCAAACTCGTTACAACGTTATACGTGGTTATCAGATAGTAGTTAGCCACTATGAACCCACTAAGAGTGACGATTAAGGCACAATTTCTAGGTACATAAGTCTTTTGAGGACTACCACAAGTTCCAGATATTGAAACGATAAACAGAGTGAGAAGACAAGGATGAAAATGAAAAGGAATACACACGAGCAATGTGGATTCGAAGTTGGAATACATACAAACTTTGGTTTCGTTTCACACCAGGACACACTATGCGCATTGGCAGAAAGGTGTTCTTGCTGCTGGCTGTGACGTGGAAACTGGCACACAAGCTGCCCAGCGCACAGGGACGTAGTAGGCCGCAGATCTGTGGCTGCCCAGTGTACAAGGCGGCAAGCGTATCAAACTGGACAACGGTGAGCAACTTGCTATATATATTCATTATCGATGATTATTGGTCTCGATATCTCCATGTCATAATAATAATTGTTGCGGTTTATTGCACCAAGACCCCCATATGATGATGAGAAAAGTCAGAGGGGAAGTTGCCGGAAATTTCGGCCACCTGGGGCTCTTCTCATCTGCTCCTAAATCTAAGCACGTGGGCCTCAAGCATTTTCGCTTCCATGAAAAAACGGGCCGCCCCGGCTGGCATTCGATCCCGTGACCTGCGGGTCAGCAGCCTTAGCCACTAGACCACCACGGCGGGTGATATCTCAATGCACGTAGGCGACCTTTCACTGGTCGATTTCTTGCTCCTTCTTCAAGTGCTTGTGCATGAATTTAGGTTAAGGGGAGGTTCTCAACACAGCCGACATTCAAAGTATGATCGCTGTAGGACTATTCTCGAGAACTACGCAGTACATCACGATCTTAGAAATAGTCCACAGAGGTGGTGTGGTGGTTAGGGGGCTCCGCTGCTGACCCGAGGGGGATGGCGGTTTCGATACCGACCATGGCGGTTACCCTTTGAAGAAAGTTAAATGCTATAGGAGCCAGAATATCACGGCCGCTGGCTAAAAACAAGGTTTTTTCATCCAGCCGCCGTAATCACACCGTGGTTTTGGAACGTAGAACCACAGATAAAAAATAATAATAATAATAATATTTATAATAATAGCAATAGTAGTTCCGATCATGTAGAGAAGGTCTCCTTAGCGTTATTTGAAAAGGAGTTATCTGTACAGAACTCAAACGGTGAGGCAGAGAAAACCAGGCAGAACAATGAGCAATTATTAAAAAAAAATTGCAGCTCTGCATTCGCCTTGCAGACCATACAACCATAAATAGAAATATTGTTGTTTAGCGTCATCTTAAGTGACAAATAGACAAGATATGGTAAGATTGCGTTCAGCGTGTGCAATTCAGCGTGTCTCTTGGACGCGCAGTTCTCGGGACCGGAATGGTACGAAGTGCTCAACCACCCTGGCCCTCTCCACAAATGCGTAGTGCGGAAGTACGATGTGGACAACCAGACCATGAAATGGATCGAAAGAGACGGGTACGTAGCAGCCGCCCAACGCATAAGCCTACAGGGTGACTCAAACAATCAGCACCATGCTGGTTGTTTGAATCACCCTCTACGCAGGAATCACCAGACATCTAGCTCTTCCCCTTGCGCTGGTTCTTTCGAATGCTAACGGACAGCGTTTACTGCTGGCGGTATGCTCATCTCGTAGGTGCTTCGGCGTGCTCAATACCATCCGAGAGGTGGTGAAGGGCGTGCTTTGAAGCAACGCTCCTAGATTCCGTTTCTACTGCACTGTAAAGGTGCACTAAAGAGTGGATTATTTGTGTACCCATTCGTGATATGGAACGGTGGGCAAGGAACCCTTTGTCTAACGGCGTAGGATGCACAGATGATTCATTCTACGCGTCGCTGTTGTGTCCAACGAGGGGACGCTGACGTAGTCGACAGCTGCATCGCGCTGACCAAGCACGAAGAAGTAACAGCTGTGACGGTTGTGTGCGTTCGTTCTGCGCATAGTGGGGCGCTTTTTTAAAGTGTCGTTATTTCAGTTTGAGCAGCGTGGTGCGTGGGTGTGCTGAGCCACGGCCGAGGTCGAGCTGTGACAGTTGATGCTTTGCGCTCGTCTTGTGTGGGTTCTTTTCCTGCATCCCATGCGCTTGAGCAAAGCTTAGAAAGTATCGGGTGCTTCTGGTTCATAATGTGGCAGTCTAATTGTTGCTATCGCATTCATGGGTTAAAAAAAAACTCAATTGTACCATTCCTGTATGTATATCAACATTCCTTGCAAATAGTGCTATGCCATGTTTCTTTTTCTTTATTCCCGTGCAGAGCTTCCGCTTTCTAGTGTATAATTTCTTAGTGTTAATTCACAACCCTGTTAGACAGTGCTTGGGTGGTAGGGCCATTGTCAGGCAGTTAATTCTGCCTTTAGCCGTACCGTCCCTCGACATGTATTTATTTATTTATTCAATACTGCAGGCTCGAGGTGCAAGCAGGGTGGTAATACATATACAAATATAAATAAAGTAATTGCGAAACGAAACAATAAAGGGCAAGGAGGTTGTTTTGTAGGTTGATTCATTCATCACATGTATTAGTAAGACAGTTACATTCACATATTGTTCTTGGGAAGTACGAATACTTCAGTAGGTCTGTGCAGCAAAATATGGGATCAAGGCCTTTGAGTGGTGGTGTTGGGTGGGCCGGCTACTAAGGGGTGTCAAATACGGGGATGAGTTTAGAGCCATTTTTTTTGTTCAAAAGTTGATCAAGCAATTCTAATCTAGCTTTTTGTCTTCGCATCTGCAGTAAGGGAATGTTGTTGGCTAGCGTTAAATCTGAGGGTGAGTCTAACTTGGAGTACTTGTAGAATATAAATCTAACAGCTTTTCTTTGAATACGTTCAAGAGTGTATATATTTGATTGATTGATTGATTGATATGTGGTGTTTAACGTCCTAAAACCACCATATGATTATGAGAGACGCCGTAGTAGAGGGCTCCGGAAATTTCGACCACCTAGGGTTCTTTAACGTGCACCCAAATCTGAGTACACGGGCCTACAACATTTCCGCCTCCATCGGAAATGCAGCCGCCGCAGCCGGGATTCTGTATATATTATGTTTTGTATAAGGGCCCCATACCATAAACAATGCATTTCAATTCAATTCAATCCCTTGCCGCAAAACTGCGACTTCTATAATTCATCGTGAATTCGGCGTAACAAACCCCATCCGACTCAGTTACTAGCCCATTGTCAATCTGCAGAAGCCTTCCAGAAAAGTCTCGCATTATTCGTTCAATTTCTCTTATTTACACGCACTGTTCAGTCAAATAATGACAGTTTCGTGTTTCCGAACCCGCAGTACGATAAAGACGTGCCTCGAACGTTCAAAATCGCGCACCAATTTCATTCGCGTACAGTGGGCGCGATCACACCGACTCTTTCGACTCGCTCTTCTCAGAGTCAGTCAGTGCGCACTCGACTAATTTCCAGCCAGCCACGTGTTGAATGTCGCATGAATGTTGAATTTATGTGTTCCACCGCATGTCGGCCTAGACGTCAAAGTCAGATGTCGTTTCCCGAACCACTGCTGTCGGATGACTGGCTGCCTAGCAACGTATTCAATGGCACGCTCCAGTGCTTCATCCGGCCGAAGTGCGCTTGCGAAACCGCCACATTGAAAACAGTGAAATATGTCGGCGTAGTTGACTCGCGCGTACCAAGTTACAGCGATTGCAAGCTATTACATATTGGAAAAGAAAGCGAAACACCGAAGCTGTCGCCAGACGCCAGGCGGAACTTTGCAAATGGAGTTCATTCCGAATTCGTACTTGGCGCACGACAGTTATAAAGGCTTGGTTGGTGTCAGTAATAACTTTTGCCGATGTCAATAGCAACTACATTTTACAGATGCCTTGCCGCAACGAGACTGTTACCCCCATGTTGGAGTTCCAACATGGTGGGATGTGAAGCTTGCGATGCTACGCAGTGTTATCCGCAAATCACCTGCCAGATTTTAGCTAGCGGGCGCAGAGGCCAAGAAATGTTTTAGTGGCGTCGCTTTCGGGTTCATCACAACCATATTGACTTGCCTTGACACCAGCACTTAGGAGCGTCAGCAAGTTGATATTTTGAGCGCATGACGTTACGTACAAGCTATCAGTATGAGAGGAAAGCGCACTTGTGGGACCCGTTGGCTTCACCGCCAGGGGCACACTGTCAATGAAGCCCAGGGCACACTGACAAGCCAGGATTTTTGTTTTTACTTGGGGAAGGGGGGGGGGGGCAAGCACCTATTTGCTATATGTCTTGGCTATTTGACTATTCAATAAAAACCTACATCCTAGATATGGACCTGGTGAGGGCGATAACCTATAACTAGACCCCATCGAGTAGGCTACAAGTTTCATCGCGCCTCTCGCGACGTGTCGAAAGTTCGTTATGCCACCTGTGGTTAAGAGTGACTTTTACGAAGGCTTGCTCTTATCGCGTAGGAATGGCAGACACCTTCATATGTGGCTAGTGCAACTGTGACGAAACGGTCGAACACATACTTTATTCTTGTGATCTCTTTGTGTCCGTAGAAGAAAAGACTGTACGGCCCCATACGCATAAGCAGTACTTTCGGAACAAATGCCACGTGAAGTATGAATTAAACAGAAAACAAATGACGGAAGACATGCAAAACAACGCAGATTTGTCTTCGGCCTTTCAAGCTGTCTTAATTCAGACGTGAGTCATGCCAACCTCCCAAGTATTGGCTTTAGGAGCGAAATAAAAGCTTCTTGTAAGTTGCTCAACTCTTAACGATCCCGCGTCCCAACTGAATTATGGAGCCCGTCTGGTTTGATCTGTATCAAACGTGCACGAGAACTCGGGCAGAAGGCGATGCACTGAGAAGCATCGATTCCATGCCCTACTCTCGATTGCAGGGGTGGTGGAGTTTCGGTATTGGAGTTTTCGTTGTCAAGAGGACGGAAAGATGCAAGGCAGAAACATGTCTCTAATGCGGTGACCCCTGAAATGCACTTCACCGAGGAAAACTGAATTAAATACGAGTCGAGGTGAGACGGGACACGGTCAGCGTTGCACTAATAATAAATGCAGTAGAAGGTTGACCCGAGAATTACGCCGAGTTCAGACTACATCATCACCCCCGGGTGCAGCGTTCATATATATATACTCGACTCGTAGTCTGAATGTCATTTAAGAATCTCAGCGAGGCGTCTTAACACCTCTGGTGACACGCGTGTCGGGAAGATTGTCAAGCGAAGTTTCGCGTTCGCTCGGCCACTGCCCAGCCTGTTCCAGTGCGATCGAAAGCCACATTCCTTTGCATGCAGTAGTGAGGAGAGTCACAAACGGTATGCTCTGTGCTTCTTTCGTGTAGGTACAGTGGGTAAGGGCAGTGCTCAATGCTGCTCCTAGGTGAAACACGAATGCTGGTTAGCGAATGCCGAGTCAAGCCACAAACAGTTAATATCTGTCGTATTGCTTTCTCGTGTGGTTAAATAATATAATGTCTGGATTCAGAATAGAATGCGCAAAGAGGCCGTATGTGTGTCTTCCTTTTCATCCGTCGTCTTCTTTGCAGCCTACATTTCTGATCATAGAACGCAAACACGCTCCGTTGTTCACTCTCGCAATAGTATCTGAAGTTTTATGGGCAAAAACAATGATGTCATTGTAAGGCATAACGTATCGAAGAGCTGCCGACACTTTTTAACGTGCATTGACATCGCACAGTTCACGGGCCTGTACCATAGCGCCTCTATCGAAATGTCATTACCGCGGTCACGTTCGAACCTGCGGCTTTTGGGTCTAAGGTCCCCAGATGAAACAAGAAAACTTGTTTTATCTAGGGACCTTATTCGGGTCAGCATTCGAGCATCATAACCTATTGAAACGCCCTGCCCCCTTCCCTTGTGTGGTTACACTTAGGTGTTGTGTGAAAGGTTATCTGAGTGCAGAAGAAAGAAACAGAGAGAAAGAGAGAGAAGGAGAAAATAAGGGAGGGGTGTGGTTAACCAACGCCACCTGAGAGAGGTTGCGTCTACTAGACATGGTACATTCTTCTATTTCTTTTTCTTCATTATAGTACTGACACCGACTAACAAAAGCACGTGGTATATAGCCAAATAAAGTTTCATTCATTGATTCAATCATTCTACCTTAGAGGGGAGAAAAATTGCTAAGTTGAAGGAACACTAACCCCGAATGATAAATAAGCTTGGTCTGATAAATGCTCTCTGAAAACTAGTGTTATCAATTTCACAACCATAGACCTATTACTGGACGAGTAAGCTAGTTACGAACGTTTCACTTTTCAATCTCTGGTGGTGACATCACAGATTTCAAAGTGTTTTCTGCATATTGGCCACATTGGCTCGACAAAATTTTTTGAAACTCGGTATTCGGTAGAAGGAGCGAGTCCTTCTGAAGGACTCGCTCCTTCAGAAGGTGACCTTATTCATTTTTATAAATTAGGCACTAGGACTCGCTCCTTCAGAAGGTGACCTTATTCATTTTTATAAATTAGGCACTACGTAGGTCTCCATAGATTACGTCGAAATATACGACGTCATGGTTTCCTAGTGCGGGAACATCACGGTGGCGCCAGCACCCGCATTTTGGTTTTGCGAGTTGTCTCGCTTGCGAAGCGTTTGATTGCAGAAAGCGTGGTGTGTTTGTATCGTGAAAGAGTAACCTACTATTACGAAGGAAATCATTTTCCTCTCTAATGCCTCTTTCAGAGAGCGAAGACGCACGCTGCATCGTTGACAAGAGTGTTGCGTCGTGCGTTTTAATATTCTGTAGGTTTTCCTCGATTTCGTGTCATTATTTCGTTCCTTTTTATTTCACCCTTTTCTTATCATTCAATACCCAGGGCACCTTATCACGCTACATAAAGTGTCCAGCATGTCACCGAGTTCACCAATCGTTACGGATTTCCGTAGAGATTTTTCGGGGACGACTGATTCGAAGAACTCAGCGGATGAATTGTTCCAGTGGGGGAACGGGCACTCGTGACCCGCAAGCGTGGGACGCGGGAACCCAAGTATCCTCTGTCGGGTCAGGTTCATCCCTCGAGTTCTTGGCCCAGTGTTTCTAGGACTGCATAGACTAGAACATTAGAAGAGTAGACCACGCCCTGCGAGGCCCGTACATACCCCACGCAGAATCCTGTGAATAAAGTCTTTTCTTTCTCTCTCTCTCTTGGAATAGGGGCACTACAGGGCCAGACAGACTACGCTTTTCACCCTCACGTTTTCTTCGGAGCACTGAGGCAATAGGGTAGCTTGTCTGGTTTCTGTACATAATAAAGTTTTTATACTACTACTATTGCCAGAATGGTGAACCATTGCAGTATGGTTCATTACTTATATAAATACCTACGCTTCAAACAGACGAAAACAAAGAACACAGTACACAGGACGTTTGTTGTGTAAATGGGTGAACTGAACATTTCCTCATTTACTGTAATAGACTCTCTGCCTTACGAAAAAACACTTTAGGTGCCATTTGCCACCTTCACGGAATAGATATGAATGCACAAAATGTGCTTTCTTTCGGGTTTTGTCTCTTGGCCACAGCGGTGGGAAGATTGTTGACGCATTGCAGGCGTTCGTCAAAAGCTCAAAGAGGTTTAAGTGTTGAAATAATTGCTAGGTCGATTTTATGACTTTTCTAAATTCACATTAAATCAAATATGCCGCTTTATTGCCTTAAACTACAGATTATTTACAATTCAACCATCAAATTTGTCCTGTTGCATCTTTCTTTTATTTCTCGTAGACTAATCTTAACCTGTTATTAAGGAAGTAATTTATGAAAACTATCTGGTTCTTGGCCAATTTCACATCGTGGGTGTGTGCTACATCCTCAAGGATCTTGACTTGACTCGACTTGACGAGCGTGTTCTTTGCCTACATTACTCTACTTAAGTTTTTCCATAAGAATGTATGACAAGCTCGCTCAGATCATAGCAGCATTTTTACGAGGCATATAGCTGGGCTAGGCCCTCTGGTAATCCACCCTGTCTACCATGTAGATGTAGATCCTGAACCTCTGGCTCACACCCACCATGGTGGATCGGCCTACCATTCATCGATCACCGGCTCCCCTTGATTTCATCTTCCTCATTTCTAGATATTTTTATCTACTCTCTTTCAATCCTCGAGAGATAGACGTTTGCCTGGAGAAAAGTGAACTCTCAACACATTGATTATAGGAGGACTTGGAAAAACGTGGCACAATAGAGACTCGCAGAAACGAACGGGCTACCATCGATTTTGGTGGTGTGGTGTCGTCACGTCCATGTTCTCTTTCTCCCTTCCAGACCCTACGGCGATGCGACAAGAACGAAGATGTTCGACTTAGTGGTCGAAGAAGGACAGCAGTTTCTAAATAGAGACAGTAAGTACTCTCAGTGCTCGAGACACTGTCTTTACTGTCTTGACAATTGAACTTTATAAAATCCAGCGTGCTCCCATGCAGGCACTATGTCTGCCATAAATGCTCCAAGACGGCTTGCGGCGCTAACCAGCGCGTAATGGGTGATAAGGAATCGCTAACCGGAGGCTCATCATGCAATATACCTCCACGTTGTCTAGAGTGTCAATGCATGCCAAATTTGACGAATGCCCTGATTTATGCTGACACGCAAATAAAGAGGCGTGTCGAACGGTTGAGGCCTGGTATAGCGATACCAGGCCTCAACAGTCGCTCCTAAATAACATCTTTGTATTCAGGAGCTACGAAACAAATAACTGTTACTGCTGCTAAAAGGGGAGCCAGAGCTTAATCAAGCAGCGTGGAAGCAGATTTTTTCTCTGGCCTCGTAGGTTTCGCTGTAACATGTACTGCTCATAATGAAAATCAGTTTTTTTTTCATTGAGTGATAATAGTGGTAGCACATATGTTAGTCAACAATCAGTTGAGTCGCATAAATAATAATAACTGATGGGTTTTCACGTTCCCAAACCATGTTAGGGTATGAGGGATGCATACGCGGAGGGCTTTTTAACGTTTACCTAAATCTAAATGCGCGACCTGTAGTGTTTTCACCTCCAGCGAAAATGCGGCTGCCGTGGCTGGGATTCAAAACCGCAACCATAGGGTGAGCACTCGAATACCATGACCATGTTCATGGTATTCGCTACTGGTCAGTTGCACAACAAAGAAATGAAATGCCTGTACAATTATCTTTCATAGTATCCGCTACTGGTAAGGCCACCACTACTGGTCAGTTGCACAAAGAAGAAATGAAATGCATGTACAGTTACCTATCATGGTATTCGCTACTGGTAAAGCCACCGCTACTGGTAAGTTACGCAAAGAAATGAAATGCCTGTATAGTTATCTATCATATAGTGTTCTCTATTGGTAAGGCCACCGCTACTGGTCAGTTGCACAAAAAAGAAATGAAATGCCTGTACAGTTATCTATCATGATATTCGCTACTGGTAAGGCCACCGCTACCGGTCAGTTGCACAAAGAAGAAATGAAATGCATGTGCAGTTATCTATCAAGTAGATCACCACGGGTGTCGGGTTGATATTTATTTCATCTTGCTTGGGACTGCACGGATAAGCTTTTACCTTTTCCCCACCGTCCTGTCCCTTTTCAGTTGTTACTTGGCGTTTGAGGTTTCCTCACTTTTCTGTTGCGCCCGCATTTGCGTTCCCAGTATTGACATGAATACCTACGTACTAGCTCAACTCCGTTATCCAAAGTCTTTAACACTTCTCTAATGCAATTTCATACAACGCTCCCATCCTTAAATATAGCGAAGGTCGTGAGTTCGATCCCGGTCACAGCGGTCACATTTCGATGCAGGCGACATGGTAACGGTCCGTGTACTGTGCTATGTCAGTGAACGTTAAGGAGCACCAGATGGTCGACATTTCCCGAGCCCTCCACAATAGCGTCCCTCATAACCACATTGTGCGTCTCAGGCTACCAACCCCACATATTAATATTCAATGGAGCGGAGAAAGTTCTCACCAGTACACATTCGAAGCACTGTTTCGCTATAGCAGCGGCCTCGCTTTGCAAGCGTTGTCGCGTGGCATTGTTAAGAAGAAAGTCGAGAAGAGCTCAGAATTTCGCAATGCTATCTTCGAATGCCTGTTCCATCAGCAAGTAGCTTAAAACTATTAGCACTAGTTCTACGGAGATCGTATTTAAAAAAGGGGTATTACATCATAGGATGCTACGAACACACGGAACAGTGCCTATACAACATTAAGATAACCAACACAAAGTATAAATGGAGACATTCGCATAAATGAGCATTAACAAATTAAGAAATAATATCAAACGCTCTTTCGTTTAGGTCATTTGCTACTTCCTTCAGGAACATAGTCATAAGACGGGCTGCTACACGGCATGTAATTCGAAATGCCCGAATCGAGCTAGCCTTCACTTTTTGAAAGTAAAATAAGTCATTGTTTAGTTTCGAGACATGCTGGTAGCGTTTTTCATAATAGCATCGGACAGGAATAACCACGGATGCTTAGTATGTTATCTCAGATATTATTCTAAATTAGAATAGTCAAGCAGATTAATCACGCGTCGACGATGGTTTTTTCATATTCTATAGGTCATACTCTACGTTTTGTTAGAGTACAAATAGCAATGAGCAGTGTGAGTGAGAGAGGCAAGTTTGACACTCCCTAACCTCCTATATCAACCTAAAAGGACACGCACTAACACGCACGCACGCACGCACGCACGCACACACACACACACACACACACACACACACACACACACACACACACACACACACACACACACACACAAACACACACACACACACACACACATACAGGGGCACACAAAGAGAGAGAGATAGAGAGAAAAGGAAATGCATTTATAAAATGATAATTACGTTACTTCGAGAACTCTAATGCTGGAAGTACGCAAATAACTAACCAACCTCACCTAATGAGAAGTTCAAAACAAGTTGCCGTAGTACGGCCATAATAAAACAAGTTCACCCATGACTATTAATTACGACTGATTTGCCAGTATTCATAGCTCAATTAGGAAAGAATTCGCGACCATTTGCGATCAATCTTTTGGTGTACCGATAAATGCAACCTTAGTTGCTGTGCTGGATTAACCGAACTAACACTGCATCGTCGCCGCCCATGGCCAAAATTTTGTGGTCGAGATAAATGGGTACCGTCATAGATATAAAAAACAAAGAAAACACTCAATACTGGCACTGCTGGTTGACACGTCACTTGCCACGCTTTCGGGCAATGATGGACGGCGGCGGCTGGTAACTAGGGCAGCGTCCACGGCAAGACCAAGTACGAAGCATCTCACAGTCGGCGTTGCAGCAATAACTAGAGAAAACGAAAGAGGCAAACATGACGCAGACTTATGAGTGATCAAGATGACGTGCACCAACCCGCCCCCTGAAACCTGCTGGTGACTGCTTGCAGAAAAAAAAATATATACAAAAAATGATTAATCAGACGCATTGATTGTGAGACATTGTAGGCGGCCTTCTTGAGTTTTTTTTTTTGTCCTTTCGTGTACTATATATATGAGGTCTTTGGTATCAGCTCTTGACGTTTTGCGATGTCACTGCTGGTAGGAAAATGTTAGGAAACATCGAGGGGTTACATTGTTTTCTGCAGCTACAGCGGTCACTTCGAGGCTCCGTTGTCTGTCAAGTTATCTTAGTCTGCTGATGGAGGGTCATGGTTTTCTTTCTCGCGTTACGGGACGTAACTGGTTTTGGCAGAGAAGGAGCTTGGAGTAACAGACGCCGGCCAGGATCGCTTTGTTTACCGCCTCAAAGGATGGACCCGCCTTCGTACATAGTCACTGAAAGCGTTACACAACACGTTTAGCAAAGGACAGCGAGGATTCACAATATCTCGCTTGCGTAAGCTCTTAGAGTGGTGGTTGTTTGGGCGTGCTGGTGCACCAAATGTCGGTGCTTGTTGCGCGAACGTAACACAGCTAGAAAGGTGAAGAAAAAGGGAAGAAAGAATGTGACAAAAGGCGATATACCGGTAGTTGAAAGGTGAAATGGCACGCGCAAATTGCACGCGAGGTAGAAGGTAAAAACAATTTACTATTATAGTTTCTCTTAGGTACTGTTGCGCAATTCGCTCTGTCATTGTGTACAGTAAATGTGTAAAGCAGCTCCCACAGCAATAGGCTTGCTTGAAGCACCATCTGTCGCGTTCTGGTCATTGCTGTGTTTATGCGTTATTCTTGTTGTCCCTTTTCTCGGCAAGTTCAACCTCTGGTAGCAAGAACTCAGGTTACCTAAGCGCATTTATTCGCTAAGGCGTCTGTAGATTGAGGCGCCACCATTGTGAAGTGCAGCGCCGAAATGCGTTTGCGTTTACTCTACGTGTATATGTACGTGGTTGATGATTTTGAGTGAGTGTGTAGATTGTATACACTGCAAAATAAGTGCCCACTCTATTTTTTTCTCAGAGTCTTTCTTTCAGCAGATTCTGAGCACGGACTTCAACAGTTGGGCCTTGCTACACATATGCTCCGATGGAGGTGAGTGTGAAAATCGGATGATTGCACGATCACTTTTAAGGATTAGGACCGTAAATAGCCTCACAAGTACCATGGTTACCATGGTTACCTGTCACAGGCGCGCTTGGGCAAGCGCCCTTAATGCTATGCTCTGAATCTTTACTTTTCAGACCGGCGATCCAAGTTCACGTTGACGTTGCGCGATCCATTAAGCGTGATACCTTCAGACGTAATGACTCGCGTCAACGGAACGTTGGACATGTTGGGCTTATCGGACTTCATCAGGTGGACACGGTCACCATGCATCATCGACCGCACCCTGCGTCAATTTCTCGGGATGACCGGACTGGTGATTATGTACCCGCCGGAGGGAGCAGTCTTGCGATTCGACCAATCTCTCGCGACCGAGAAGGTACCAGTATACAGGCAGAATCGCTTTTGTCTAGAGCATTGGAGAGCACGTGGCTGTAAACGCTGTTGTTGTCTGCCGCTGCAGCTGACTTACGTTAGCTAAGCTTTTAATCAAACCCCTGCTTAAATTGATATATACAGCCAGGAAGCCGCACATTTTTCATCGGGGTCCTGCATATAGCTAGCTTATATCCCGGACATTATCAAGAGTGTAAAAGCTTTCGTTTATGCATGAAATATAGCACAAGGACCAAGCACTTAGTATGACTATAAGGTGTCATCATGGTGTCGTTCGTTGTTACTGCAGATGAGGGCAGCTGAAGTGGCCGGCTGGATGGTGTAAACAAGGGTGATCCCGTCTATATACATGCGATTTCGCACTTTCACTGCTTCTTTCAGAATTAGGATTCACACGGTGCTTAATTCATTTGCCGAAGATAAATGTAAGGTGAAGGTTATCTTCTTCTAACAATAATATCTGGGGTTTAACATCACAAAACCGACATATGATTATGGGAGGCGGTGCAGTGGAGGGCTACGGCAATTTCGACCACCTGGATTGTTTAACGTACATGGCCTCAAACACGGGCCTCAAAGTAAACGGGCCGTTAAGTACACGGGCCTCAAACGTGGCCATCTTTCGCTTCTCAATCGAATAAATTGACGTTTCCCACGCCCCCAAAAACTCACAATAACCACCATCGTTTAGCATTGCCTCCACAATTCTAGGCATCCCAGCTATCTGAAGCTCACGTGGTATTGCACTATGGCCTCCGAAATCAGCCCATGTTTGACCGAGTGATTGTATTGTGTGGTGAGGCCTTCATGTGGCGTCTGGTTACGTGGTATCAGAATGGCATAACGATTACGTCACACATTTAGGCGGCATATATTTTGACGACGACGTCATCACAGGATAATTTCTTTGCCGCTGATGGCCTCTTGTCAGGCTTGTTGGGACATGTAAGGCTTTTGCCCTAATAATACAATGCCTTCTTTAGACTCTTTCTGAGAGGCTCATAAAGGTATTGAGAGACTGAGCGGAAACCAGCTTGCACGAATGTCCCTTACAGATGAGCGCAGGTGCACCACGGTCCTGTGGCTGGAGCTCATTTTTCCCCCCTTAGTTTGTAGCCTAGTGCAGAGCTCTTATATCAATAGCTTTACATAATAGTGGCGTGGTCAAATCTTAACCAAGTATAAGCAAAGCGTACTTTAAATTCTCTCCTTTATGCAGCGCACGGAAAGAACGCAGCAGACGAATGCACCGCAGGCAACGATCGGGCTGACCGAGTTACGCATGCTGGACGATACAACCACGCCGTGCGGACCCAATGTCGCGGACGAAAGAAGTATTTCACGTGACACCCATCTACCATACGTCACCGGTCAGGCGCGTGAGACAATTGCAGCGAACGACGCTGTTGTACTTCACGAGAGCCACCAAGCATGGCACAGGGACAAACTCAAGGAACTCAGCAGGCCACAAGAGACCAGTGGGTCACAAGAGACCAGCGGGCAAAGCCATCCGAGACAGGTACAAGAGACCAGCGGGCCGCATCCTGTGGAGACGGCGCCGACAAGCGACCAGTACAAGCATTCAAGCCAGCCGCTAGGACCCCGTGCGCCGAAACAGGCCGTGATGACGCTACCGCCGATTCGTATTAGGACGACTACATTGACGTATCAATAAAGAAGATGATTCTTGGTGAAAAAAGAACACACGGATGAGTTTTTATGAGACTCAGCATCAACACGCTGCTGGCTTGCCAGACACATGCAGATATTGTGTTTTTTTATATAATAAATATGGCCAAAACTAGCCTAAGTTAGCCTTAGTCAACCTAACTTTCAATAGCTAACTTTTCTTTATTCTTCTGCCTGTAATATCTTTATCGTTGCCATCATAACTACTTTGTAAGAAGATGAAATAAATGTAACCTTTAAGATTGTTCGGCTTCACCAATAAACCTCAGTGCCTGAATTTAGATGTGATATTAAGAACGTTATTACGTCATGGCTTGTTGCTCCTTGCAGCAACTGAACGCACTCTGTAGACTTCAGGCCGACCTGGACGTGTGTGTACGAGATGAACGGCTTGAAAAAAGTGCCCCGGCTGCTTAATCATTTAGTCTTCTCCACCGCGCCGCCTCCTCTCCTCTCGACTCAGCGCCATGTTCTGTTGCGTTAGTTGCAGAAGCGTGCATATTTCCATACGTCAACTTTCTTATCGAAACCGACGTCACATGCCGAGGTGATTGCCTTTCGAAATTGGTTAGGAGAGTGCGCGGGTGCCGGGGATTTCTCATTGGTCGCTGTAATTAATTGGAAGCAAGGCGCAGTATATATAAAGACGCACGCTTTACTTTTTACACTTGTTTTACTCGCGGATTTCGTCACAAGGAGGGCGCGTGAAGACCTGTTCTAAACGTAGGTCCTGTTCGCGTCGCGCAAGTCGTTTCGTAATTCGCAGCAGTGGTGACTGCCAATTAAGTTATCTACTCCTCTGCGCGTCGCTTCATTGTTAGGCACCCACATTTTTCAGAAACCCTTAAAAACAAGCCGACGTTATGTTAATCTCAGTGGGAGAGACTGCAATCCATTGGTAGTGCGTATACCTTGTATTCTGGGCGTTCCACTAGCACATAATTAAGTTGTAACCGAACCTGTGCCTAACCGTCTTTCAAAATGATGGACAAAAAGAAGGCGATGAACGGGGGTGGTGGTGGTAGGATGTATAGAATGACGCAGCCAAAGGCACGCGTAGTATGTGTCCCTCGCTACAGCTTGTCGCTGAATCGGCGCAGCAGCCGGGGACAATAGAGCATAGACGCACAATTAACGGGCACCACACGCCGGTCTGCTTGCCAGTGACGCACGGAGCCCCGTAGCCACAGCGCGTACCTTCGCAACCACGCAGCGTCAGCGGCGAGCTTTTCAGTGTTGCCATTCCATGAAAAAAAAAAAAGAATGCGCAGAGAGTCACTAAGCGTTATTCGAATACGTGCAGGACGTCATTGTCTGGGATTAAACGACGCCTGCGGTTACATGCAAGCGTACGTGACAGTGAGACCTGAGAACACGAAAGCAGCACTAGTTTATTCTTTCGAATTTGTAACCGCGAAGCTGTTCCTACTCAAGGCTCCTATGAGCGGGATCCATGGTAATGCTTGCGGGTACCTTAAACGCGTATACGCCGCAAACATTAGGTAAGCCCCACGTCTGGTTCTCTAAAAATGAAGAAGGCAATAGCTAGCTCAGTAAATGGCGATACGGCACAGAAATATGTGCGGTTTATCAGAAAGCTGTCATCGTTATAAAATTACACCATCTCCTACTAACGGAAAACATGTCGTGATGCGAAGCAGCACTGGTGTTCACCTATGTTTTCGTTCGTATGTATCCACGTATGTTTCATTTGTGTGTGGAGTTGTACACATGCAGTGCACCGCTCATGTTACCATCCTTAGATTTGTGTGTATTATCGTGTGTATGCCACAAAGTGAGCACCCAGCGCTGCTAGGAGAGTGCAACAGAGCGAGGTTGTGGAGAATTATGTACGAGTGCACAGCTGGGGCGAAAAGGTAAAAGTGAGGGGAAAAACAAAGGGGAGGCAGCGCACAGCCACCTCCTTCATTCCGCCTCCTTTCACTCGCGCGATGAGATGGGAGAGAGTTGGCGCATGCGCAGAAGGGAGAAACGGTCGGTCGTCGAGGGACGGACACAGCCCTCCAGCAAAAGCTGCCTCACATCTGAAAGCGTATGTACCACCGAAATTGGGTATTGTGTCCAGCCCCTCTTCTCTCCCTTCACCACTTTCCAACTTGGTGGAATGAGAGGTAGGTCGTTCAAAGTGACGCAAAGTGTGAGAAATGGAGATATCTAGAAGGTTCCTGGCATTAGCCCACTTATACTGTGGGCATGACTGCCACCAACATTTGGTCATGCAATGGTGACAGAGGCCTTAGTGGGGAAGGCTCGGCCATGCCGACTTGCCTAGATGCATGCAGTGCTGGGCAATATACGGATTCATCATCCAATGTGGCAAGCCCGCGCTGTTTGGCACAGCTCCTCGATGTGTAGAGCTGCAAACTCGGTCAAATAATAGAATTACTGAAGTATGATAACCAGTCAAAATACTATACACTGAAGAGAGAAGCGGTGAGCACAACTATGCTGGTGTGTGCAAAGACTCGTGTGTTGATGTAGTGCGCACAAAAATGAGCAAAACGAGGCAAGTGTTTGCTTAGTGCCGTGCTTGGGTTTTCTCAAGCTTCTTTTTTGCGTATTCGTTTTGTATACTGCGTGAATCGACCTTTGTTCTGTTCCAACCAGAATAGCGAACGTTTGGATGGGTGAGTGGCAATCTGTGCCGCACTAAACACCACCGTATCTACCAGTAGCACGTTCATACGGCCCCAAAATAACTGGATGTCTCTTTTAGTTCATTTTCTTGAGATTGCTATCTATCTATCTATCTATCTATCTATCTATCTATCTATCTATCTATCTATCTATCTATCTATCTATCTATCTATCTATCTATCTATCTATCTATCTATCTATCTATCTATCTATCTATCTATCTATCTATCTATCTATCTATCTATCTATCTATCTATCTATCTATCTATCTATCTATCTATCTATCTATCTATCTATTCAATTTTCTGAGCATGATAAGACTGCTATAGTGGGGCATCACACGCAGGCTTCGCGTGCACTGCACCGATTCTGTCGCAACGAAGCTCAGACAAGCAACAGCCGCGTGTTCGCCGGGAGCACCCTTTTCTGGGCCTGTATTGCGTTGCGTCACAAGCGCGAATCTGTCGCCAGGTGCTACGAGGCCAAGTGGGGAAGCCCTTTCTGTGGGGAGTCTCGAAGCTCTACAGGCTCGAAGCTCTACAGCCGTCGCGGCACTCCCGCGGAATGCTCCCCGACGGAAGAAAAAAGGCGACGAGAAAGATAGCGCTCTCTCTTCGTCCGTGGCTAACGAGCATTCGCCGCCGCCGTCGTCGCCTCATTAGATAGTGCGGAGAATGGCGGAAGGCTCAGCGGGGCCAATGGCATCGCCGGTCAAGGACCGCTAGGAAGGCAACAGGCCACCGCACTCCTCCCCTTTGTTGGCACCTAAGTAGGACATGTCGTCGCGTGTATGGCATGCAGAAGAAAGGAAAGGTGTGTGAAATGAAACACTGTTACAACAACGTCTCGTTTTAGCAAATGTTGGGCTGGCGTTAAATCAACGCACGTGTTATATATATATATATATATATATATATATATATATATATATATATATATATATATATATATATATATATATATATATATATATATATATATTTATTTATTTATTTATTTATTTATTTATATATACATATATAAAGCACGACCTCCTCTAGAGGAGGTCGTGATATAAAGAGACAACACAAGATCCTGGGCCAGCTGCTCTTATTCTGCCCTTTTTCTTTCCTTACTTCGCTCCAGCTGCCTCGGGGCAGCCGAGCCCAATACCCAGTGCCACTCTTGGTCATCACAAGATAAGATATCTTTGAGGGCTGGTGCATATCGCCATGATTCTTTGGGCGCGCCCTGGCCATGAATTATCGTTCAAGGTGAAAGGACTTCAGAAGCGAGTGTTGATGCTGAAATCCATGTTGTTTACTATGTTCTACTGTCAGGGAAGGGCCTGGAACGAACATCGCAGTTGAAGCTGCACGCTCAGCTGGTTGAGCTGACCATTATGATGGTCGCCATTCAAGCAATGAGAGACCTGAAATAGGAAGATTGCCAAGATCCGCCAGAAAAAAAATATTAAGCATAGAAAACGAGGCCAAGGTGGGGATGTTACATAAAAACATTGTTGCCAATGAATCGGCTTATTTAGATATGAGATGACATGGCGTGGAAAAGAGATCAGCGTACTTGCGAAACGAGTCCAGCCCGGTTCACTCAACAACACAGTACGAGTACCGGCTCCACCACTCTTCTTGTTCAACTACGCCCGTGCGCTCGCGCATCTTCTTTTAGCGGGACGGCTCAGAGCTCCCTCATAGTTGAGTGTGAAGTACTCGAAATAGTTAAACATTTCTTTTCTAAACACACCTCTGTTGCATTTTCCCCGGGGCCTTAAATATGCGTATAATGGACACTGTTTGAGGTGCGCTACGAGAACAACTTGCATAACCCGCGAAATCTGGTTTTTAACTGTCACTCAATATACAACGTAGTTCACTTCACTGAGGCGAGAGACAACGACGACTGGGCCAGAATAGTTTTCTAGAAACTTCTGGTTCACTTCTTTTCTACGAACAGGAGTCCACAGCCAAACGTATACAGTCGCCAGGAGAAAAACCCCCGGGAATATGTTTGGCATCGTAGTGACTCTTGCTTTGCTCTTGTGAGGACAATGTATGAATGCACGCTGGTTGAACTGCTTCTTCAGCACGACAACCACCACGAAAGGTGATAGAGTGTCCAGAAAACTCCCGAGGTTTCGTGCGTAAAGAAGAAAAGAGGGCGATTGTGGAGTAACTTCACGCTTGGTGGTGTGACATGCGTGCCAAACGGTAATACAGCGTCCCAGATCAGTGATCAGCCTCAACGTAGATGGACAGCATATTCATAAGAGTGCCAATCGTTCTCTCGGTCAGACCAATAGTTGACGCATGGCAAGGGCGATAAAAAGAA